AAAATTCACCATTTCAATCACATTTCAACCAAAATCATCCAACAATCAACTTCCGGCCAACCCATTTCAATCACATTTCAACCAAAATCACCCAACAATCAACTTCCGGTCAAATCAACCAACAATTGGCACCAAAATCAGCCAAATCCATTTCACTAAATCGAAATTCACCCTCGTTTCTCTTTGAAACAAAAAAAAAATAAAAAATCGAAATTCACCCATTTCAATCACATTTCACCCAAATCCCGATTCAATTCGCCAGTCCCAAAAATAATTCCTGCCGCCGCTTACCCGTTCCCGTTCAGATCGCCGGCGAGCTCATCCCGTTCAGGTGGCGTCCCCCTGCTATTCGCGCCTCGTCTCTGCAACTAATCTGCAACTCTCTCTCGGAACGGCATCCCTCGCCGTCAGTACAATCGGGGCGCTCGACAGGCGGGCTGAGGGAGATTGAGAAAGGGGCAGGTGACGGTGGTGGCGGTGTTGTGATGGCTGATGGCGCTCGATGGGGTGGTAGCGGCGACGGCGGTAGTTTGGTGGCAGCATCGACGGGAGAGTTTGGGATAGTGGCGGTGACCGGTGGTTTGTGTTGGGTTGATTCGGGCGTGTCCGGTAGGAGGGGTGGGGGAGGGAGCTGCTGTGGCAGAGGACGGCGGTGTGTCTCCGGTGGTCGCCTGCTATGGCGGAGGAAGGAGGGTTTCGGGACGGTGTAATTTAGTGTGTGTTTGTGTGTGTGCTGAGTGCGTGTGTGTGCGTTGAATTGAGTGTGTGATTTGTGTCATTGTGTGTGAGAGATATAAGGGAGGGTAATTGGGGTGGGTCCCATTAGATGAGATGTAAAATATTGTAATGACTAATATACCCTTAATTATTGGTCAAATGTGCATATTTGACCACAATAATTTAAATAATTACCAGTTTGCCATTAATGCTTGACCATAGTTTGACTTCATCATCACCATTGATATGGTTGATCCCATGGTTCAAGTTCATTCTTATTTCTCGCATTAAAAGTCATTCTCATATGATCCCTTCTCTATATATATATATATATATATATATATGATTTTCTGAGCTGAGAAAAATATCGTGACATAATATAAAATTCAGGACATATTTTCATGGAATTTACAATTCAATAGTATATGGTACATATAGCAAATTAAATTATCACTATTTATCCATATATTAACTTAATAAACTTGCATGTTCTGTTTTTTCAGCTTCATAGTTTTTAGTATAGTTTGATTCTGAATAAATTGTTTCTCTTTATGTACTGTTAGTTGCAGAAAAAATACTTCAAAAAATCTCTAATAAAAGAAACATATATATTTTTCATTAATCAACTTGTTCGTCACATAACGATGCATCGAAAGCTGAAAATTATGCCGAAAACTAAAGAAAAACGAAACTTTCAGTCGAAGCTTTAACTACAAATACATGCCATTGCCGTTTATGCCAAACTGTCCTGGATAATAATAATCGATCCCACCATTTTCCGATAAATAATCGAACGGCGAATATGGAAACATATTATAATCATCAACCGAAACAGAGTTATTCGTTTGCTGGTCGAAAATATTCCAAGAATCTTCAGAACTCGAACTATTGTTGTTGTTATCGAGCGTGAAGCTATCGGAACTTAAGCTTCCCGAGTCATGGACTTGAAAAGGGTCGGTTGAAAGCCACTCGGCGAACAGAACTTTCGGTAAATTGCAATTAGGTCCCCTCGACCGGTTTATTTCCTGTAAATTCGGGTCGTTTGTCTCGTTTATCGATTGTTCCGGGCTTTTAAACGATTCGAGACCGGGATTTTGAGGCGAAAGATTTGGAATTTGAGGTAATTCACCATTTATGGTTTCTTTTTTAACCTGCATTTCAGTTTTAACTGCCCTTTTCTTGAGGTAAGAGTGCCAGTGGTTTTTAATCTCATTATCTGTTCTTCCAGGTAAATGTTGGGATATTTGAGTATTTAGATATCCATTATGATCAATTAAAGAACAAGTGTGTAAGTCAAACACTGCATTTATTCTACCTTACAATTTTAAAATTATGAAACATATAATTTATTTGCAAATTTATTTTCCTCAGTTATGCTGAAATTAGTAAAATAAAGATATTAATAATCAAATTATTTTCCTTTTTTTTTTGGTTCCTTTTAGTGTAGTTGGTGTGAAATTTCTTTCAAGCACACAACCTAGTAAGTGCAAAAGAATTTTATAATTTAGTGCTGGGATTAAAGATTAGGCGGTCATACTTTTTCCATCAATAGGCATATTTTCAAATTAAAATAATTTATTTAAAAAATATATGATAATTTTTGCAATTATATTAAAAATATATGACAGTTTAAGCTGCCTAACAATTAAAAACTTAAAAGTCTTTTTACAATAATTTGTGATTTTATATAATATTTCTTACTTGTTTCCTAAAATATGATGAAGGGCCAAGATTATTTCTTCCTCTTCCAAACTAAATGCCCCTCGCTTTAATCCTGGCCTCAGATAATTAATCCACCGTAATCTACAGCTCTTTCCATTTCTTTCTAAACCTGTCAACAAAAAAAGTAACGAAAATGACTCATAGGATTAGTAAAAGGATTATTTTATTTCACTATAATATAAAAGTATAATTGTGAAGTCATTAATCAAACCATATCCTTGAGACAAATCTCACTTAAATATTATTCTAGTTGTGAGTAGTCAATCAATTATAAACTTTATTGACTGTAAGTAAACTTTATTTTAACCATGTAAATCAAATTACCGAATTAGAGTAAAACGTAAATAAATTACAATTAGCTGTAGACCATCTATGTTCTGTATTACATTACCGACACTCACCAATGGCTATTCAGTTTCAAAGTCATGATTAGCTAGCATGACTTAAAATTAATTTATGTGTCGATTATTCAATATTTTCCTATCTCAAAGGTTTGTTATTTAGGTAATTATTTATTTACTTCTTCCATTTACATGAAATCCTAACATATCCAAAATTAATTACATTAATTAATTATGAACACTAATCTTTTTTTGCAACTAGCTAGATAAAAAGTTGAAAATTACCAACATACTCACAAAGTAAGTTGAAAATGTAATTTGAAGAAAAATGTAGTCACTTGTGAGTTCGGTTCAATTCATCAAAGCTCGAGTATAGATATTTTTACATAACTTTCTGAGCTTTTATTTTAGCTCGACTCATTAAGAATCGAGTTCAGCTTGTTAATTGATGCACGAGTTGCGCTCAAGCTCGTTAATCATCTTGTCCAATTAACGAGTTCCACTTAATAAAGGTTCGAACTCGAGCTCGACTCGTTTACACCTCAAATGTTGCAAAGTATCACTACATTACACTTGAAAATAGGCATATAAATGAGCTGAATTCGAGCCTTAACGAGTCGATCTCGAACTTTAATTAACCGAACTATAGAAAATTATATAAAAAATTTCTTTTTGAGTCGAGGCAAACTCGTTTAATTTAACAGCATACTAGAAAACAACTCTACACTTACCGGCATTGGCCGGAACTGAACTCCAGCAGCCATGGCCGTACTTTAGGACATAATTCCGAAGCTTCTCATCTTCATCGGGAGACCATAGACCTTTCTTGAACTTCTGATTCGAGTAATCTAGCGACTTTCGGACCATTTTTTGAAGAGACGAACTCAAAATTTATCTTTGTTATGTGTTGTGTGACTTCAAATATACGATTCAAGCCAGTTTATATAAAGAAAGCGCAGCTTGGAACTTGGGAAGTGTTTAGTTTATTTCGAGTTAATATAAAATATTTAGTTTTGACATTAACTGCCACTTTGTAGATTGAATTAAAAAATTAAAATATTAAAAGGGCTATAAACTTATTTAATTTTTTAAAAGTCGGCAGGTAATTACAATGTACTGATGTAGTGTTTTCAAAGCTCTTTTGATATTATGAATCCCTTAGTTGACCTTTGGATTTGAATTTTTTTTCCTTCAATTTTTAGAGACATAAAGCATAAAAGGGTTCATACTTAATTTTAGCTACTTTTTCATTCTGTATGTCGTAAATTGGAATGTTTGAAAGGCTCACTTATTAAGCCATGTCCATCAGCTATGTTATGTATCAAGATCTCGTGTAATTTTTTAATAGGCAAAATTGCATTTTATGTCCTGTAATTAGGAGTGTGTGGTAAATGTGAACAACTTCTTTTTGATTTGGCAAAAATGCCCTGAAACATGTTAAAACCCGAAATTCGTGCTCAATTTGGGCATAAATTTCGAATTTTAACAAGTTATTGTCCTGTTTTGCCACACGAAAAACCGGTCAAATCCGGTAATTTGTAGGTAAATTGGGCACAAAACCGGGTTTTAACAAGTTTCAGGGCATTTTTGCCAAACAAAAAAGAAGTTGTCCACATTTACCACACACACATAGTTACAGGGCACAAAATACAGTTTTGCCTTTTTTAATATTGTACCCATTTTGTATATTATGCTAATTTTTCTTCATAAGTACATGTACTTAATTTCATATCTCATACTAATTTTTGAAAGATGATTATCATAACTTCATGGAATCATCAATCATTCCAAAAATCTTAAACCAAACAAGTAAATACAACAAAACTTATTTAATAATATCACTCTAAAATGAGCGTAAAATGATATATAGTTACAATTATATATCTTTGTTGGTTTGCCAAAAAATATTCATACGAAATGGTTGGAGCTAAAGAAATATTGATAAGGGCAATGTTATGTACTTAATTTTGCAATTAAAGAATGCGTTTTAAATTTTCTCAGCCTTAAAACCAAAAGTGTAAAGTATTATGCATATATGACATAATTGTTCTCTAAATAATTAGTTTAATTATTTACTTGTTCAGTTTGACAGCGTCAAATTATTTTGTCAATCATTGAAAAAAATAAAACCAGCAGTTTATTATGTTGAATTTCTGGTCATTTTATTGGCTTAGTAGATTCGAGTAAGGTTGTATTAAGAATTTAAGATTATCACTGTCTATTAGCTGATTGGGAATATATAATCTCAAAGACCCTGATTTTATTCTGAAGCTCACTATATAGACTTTGAATTTATTTGTTAAAATAACAAGTTAGTGCCTCTTTTGTCCAAAAAGAGTTGGGAAAACAATATTAATGTAATTTATGCTCTTGCGGTTTTCATAGCTTTGAAATTAGCATCAAATAAATAAATTCAGCGTATCAAATAAAGTATATACATACACATGTATTAATTCAAAACGTGTTGAGCCTAAATGGCGACAGAATCGCATGCTTCAAGATTGCAAAATTACATGTTTTATTATTTGGCTGGGTAGATTTTAATTTACTTCCAATTCAAAAATAATTAGATTCGGATTGTCCATAAATATGTTGATTATTTATGGTCATGTTATATGTATTAATTGCTTTGTAATATCATTTCTTATTATAACCATTGAATTGTAAATGTATTGTAAAAGTAATAACTTTTGTATTTTTTACCAGTTTTTCATATATAATATATCCAATTAATCATCTCTTGATGACCTTCGATTTAACATCCATATTGTATGTATAAAAATAAATAAATTATATTTATCTTTATAACAATAATAAAATTATTTTTTAATATTAATTAAAAAATATAACTTTATCAATTAATATATTTATGTTTGAAGTAGTTATATGATATAAGTTAGAAAGTTACTATAATATAACATATGTAAACGAACAAGTAACAAAGTGTCATTCTATAATATATTATAATATATATTTTTTGTAAAAGAGTAATTAAATTTTAAAACAATTTTTCTTATTAATTTTAAAAATTTAAGAATAAAATTTTGAACAAGCAATTGTGTAATACACGGGTGTTGTACTAGTAGTATACATATAATACATAATAATATAAACAATCTTCTGAAAATATTAATAATTCAAAATTGTGGTGGTCTATATATGTCAAATGATTTATAAACTTGAGTAGATAAGAAAGAGACGGAAAAAATAATCTAATGTTAGCAAAGTAATTAAGTAATATTTTTTATTTATAATAAACTAACCTATATGAGGTATGAAATTTACAATACTTAATTTTTGAGTAAAGAATTTACAAGATTTGAGTTTAATTTATTACTTCTACTCTGTTGTGAAATTTGTTGTACTTTATATTAGTGATAACGTAAAATACTAAAATTTGAATTTGATTACCAACCGTTCATCCTACATTTTACTCTACACATATATTCAACTTTCACTCTCATTATTTTAAATTTATTTTAATATCAAAATAGGATTTAGTTTAAACATCTTATTTTGCACATATTTTTTGGTAGTATAATTATATTTTCAATAAAATGTAGATATTTATAGCCTTTTATGATACTTTAATTTGATCCCAATAAAATGTAGATATTATTATAAAATCAAGTTAAAAAAATATTTATAAAAATTAAGAATAAAGATCAAAAAGGAAAAAAAAAAAGATATTAAAAAAAAAAAACTAATGTCGTCTGAAAATTATTACTAAATGGCGCAACGTGTAAGAGAAAATTCTGCATCTAGCGATAAATTGGAAATGCTCTTAGTAAACTCAAAGTTGTAAAGCAATTTCACATGCCCATTACCAACCTCAGCTAGGTTTAGCAACTGCTCCTTCTTTTGACCTATTTCTCTAACAATTTTCTCTTTAACATTTCAGAAGCAACTGTTACATTATATATCTCACTCATGTTTGTAGGTTAGACATTTCATTGCAAAAGTTACAACTATAAGCATAAACTTACACACACAATGAAGAAGTCTTATCATGCACACTTAAAGTGCCAATTTCAACAATAGTAGTATATATAATTTATAGTGTATACTACAAAAACACTACAAAAAAATGTCATATGCCAACATAAAATCTTACAGTAATATATTCCAGCAGAAATTTCAATGGATATTCTAATGTTATAACTTTTATTGGAATCATTTCAACAGAATTCTAACAAAAATATTTCATTGGAATGAATTTTTCATTGTAATTTTAGAAGAAATTTGATTATTCTAACGACTATTTTTTCTACGTTTTCTTATTGTAGGATTCATTGTAATATGAAAATTCCGTTGAATTTTTTATATCCACCCATATTTTCAACTATTGGGAAATCTACTATTTGATGTTAAAATCCAAGGAATTTTCAATGGAAAATGCTGACGAGCGATCGCCAACGGTCCTTACTTATGAGTGGAAAATGTTGATGAGCGATCGCCAACAGTCCTTAATTATGAGATTAAGGGTGGATAAGTGATGACTAGATAGATGTTTGGTGTGTCTTGTGCGAGTATACAATAAAGTATGATATGAATGATATGCGATAACAAGAAAACAGAGTGACACACGATATAGCCGATCTGCTGATAGATCGACGAAGAGAAAGGTTCTCCGAATGAATGACTAGCAATTTTGTGTGTGTGTGTGTGTGTACAATGACAGTTACAGAATGAGCTTGTGTATGCTTGTATATGTGTTTTTTTTGTGTGTAGCTTGGCTTAGCGTGGTCTGTCCAAAATGAGGTACCGAGTGGTAACCTTTATACAAGAAAAAGGTAGAATGTAATTATGATGATTGTGTGCCACTTCAATGGTTAAGAGAAGGACGTGTGGTGCCATGCAGGAGTTTATCTTTTGAGGACGGGACGTGTTTTTGCAGGTCTGCAAGAAATGACTGGTCTGGACGGCAAGACGAGACTATCTAAGTTGTAGTGCCACCGTATTTAGCGACTTTACTAGTTCAGCATGTCAGAGCGTATTCATACTCCGCAAAGCGATTGGCGATCGATAGTTTATAAGATCGACATTTGGCAATATGTGGCGATTGGGCGAATGACAGGCTATCTTTTCCCAGTGTCTAGCCGATCATACCAGTGCTCTTGGCCTTACTGAGAAGTAATACGCTGTGGCGATAATGAGTCATGCTTCTGTCGTAATCTTATGGGCTCTTTTTAGGATGCTTTGTAGGCATATACAATAAAAAACACATCACAACGGAATATCTTAGTTTAAATATCCTTTGAAATTCCATTAGAATATAATTTTATTGGAATTTCATTATTTTCTTATAATGAATGTTAGAATCTAATTAACAAAATAACGAATATATCAGAATTTTTCACTTGCTAATTGTGAACATATTACAATGTGTCCACTAGCCATGTGTCAAAAGTTTGTAATCCTTCAACTACACCCGTTTATGCTATAAGTTTGTAATCCTTCAACTACACCCGTTTATGCTATATTATTCTCCTTCCACATCAGTCGATGACCATATTAATTTGTGTCACCGTATGCAGAAAAACGGAAATAATGAATACATATTATCATTTTATTTGCTTCTATGCATTCTAAAATTAATTTGGAAAGTGTAAGATTAAATGATACCAAGGTCTCGCTATAGTCTGAACCCAAAAAGATTCTGTATCACAATATTCTAACAACGTTCTGAAAGCATATGCCACGTACATATATTCCATACTACTTTACCAGCTATTTAAAAGTCAAGTAGTTCATTTAATTATATTGATATACCTATTATATATTCCCTATGTTGCAATAAATATTAATTCGATGGACTTTTACATATTAAAAATTTATTATCAAAATACCTAGTTTGAAAATAGAAAATCATTTTGTTTTTAGTATCTTTGTATCTTACAAGGTTGAGAAAAATAATATAATTAAACTAACCATTATAAAATCATACTCTTTTTCAATAAATTTTAATACTTGTGACTAGATATTATACTTGAAAAAGGACAAATAAAATTAAATATGCATTTGAGCAGAAACATCTACAATTGATTTAAAGAATTTTGTAAGTCTGATTCAGTTATACTATAAAACACGAGTAAAAGATGTTTGAGAAATCAAATTGTGAGCTTAATAAAGTTATGCTGCTTTTATTGTTGTAACTGTTGTTAATTGTTATTTATTGTTATTTTATTTTGTTGTTCATGTCACTTATTTATAATTTAATACACGAGTGATGAAAGTTAATTGTCATGTGCATGTCATATAATTATGAACCATTAATCAAGCTGTTTTTCAGTCTTAATTAATACCTTTTTCCCAGGTTGATTTTTCTAAATATCGTGTTTTCCCCCGTGGACTTGTGTTCTACTCCCCGCCGTTAGGCATGAACAAATTATAAAATATAAATAAATAATTTTATCTCGTTAATACACCTGCTAATCAAAGAGTGTAAAAAGAAAATTTGGAAACGTATTATGGAAAAATTGGAAATGTGATGGTGCCTTTTCAATTTTCTTGCAGGTGATTAAGAAATTGACATTGTTATTAACTTAATTACCTTTTGGTAATTGACCTGTAGAGTAATTTATTATTTCTTATAAAAAAGAAAATTGGAAATTTCTTATAGAGAAATTAAATCAAGGTATATTAGTGATTACACACTAGCAAAAGAGAAAATTGGAAGATTAATTTGTAATAAACGGAGGTATAAATGGGTGGAGTGATAAGGTAATAGTATTAAGATATAAGATAAACAATAAGCATGGGAATAAAAACGATATAAACAAACTACGACAATTATTCAAAATAGAAAAGAACTGTTTTTTTTCGTTAACTAGAGTTTATTTGAAAAAAGTTAATATGATTAGTTTTTAGTGAAAATTTAAAAATGTATTAAATAACATTTAAAATAAAATGATTAAAATTGATTTGATGTAAAAGTATAAGATAAATAATTGAAAATGATAGATAGTTAAAATTATGTGAGTGAGATGAATAGCAAATTGAATTTGACGTAATGTGTAAAAATGAATTGGATGATATTATTTAATTATATTGATAATATTAAGGATAATGGAATTGAGCTAAAATTGAATTAAATTTTGAATTGAAATAGATTTTTTTCTAGTTTTTTTCTAGAAATTTGATAAACAAACACGGCTTAAACAACTCTAAAAAATACGAAAAGAAGAATGTGAATAGAAAAATTTCTTGCATAAGGTAAAGCACGACATAAAAAATTTCGAATACTTTTTTATTTTATATTTTTCTGGCTGATAAAGATTTTTGTGTCCGCCTCAAGACGCTACAGCTTAGCTCGTTTAACAAAAATTATACACTTCAACATGCACTTGATATTAGATTTTTTTAGTTTTCTTTTAATTTGTCAAATCAAGGTAACAAATAAAAAGTAAAACTGGCCTTCTCAGGTTATATTCCGAGAGCTTATATCATCACATTATTCTACATGTAATGCTTTCCTATCATTCTAATGACAAACAATTCCAACAATTTTTATTACATTCACAAATATTGCCATATAAACAAATACATTCCTTAGAAATAATGTTATGTCAAGCAAAAGAAAAGAAATAAAAAAAAAAAAGATAAACAGAACTAATCTTTACTAATCTTTTCTCACATCTTAACAAAGCCGTAACATTTAATTTATACTACAGAAATTTCAAGAAAGCTATAGGTCATTTAACTAATGAACGAGCATAAACCAGCAACTACGCCAAATTCTAATTTTGTTACATGAGAAAATCAGAAGCCATATCTTTTGTGCCTAGAACAGCTCTAATTGTGTTACATCACAGCACATAATCCAATACAAAAACACATGATCATCGACTTAAAAAAGGAACTTGGCAACTCAAACATTGTACTTTCAATTTAGCCTTTTCCGAAAAAACTCCACCCAAATTCAAACGGGATTGATCAGTAGTTTTAGCAAATATTAAAAATAGAAGGCACGTTTAACCAGGGTCTCATCCACTTTAAGAGAGAAATATTACGATAAGAAGCATAGTTCGTTCGACTGCTCATCCTCGAGAATCCGAGTCCCGGCAAACTTCAACGACACAAGATAATTAGTCACTTTCATTTTTTTCGATTGGTTTCAGTTTTTAGCCCCTGATGAGTATTAAGGATGGATCATGTTAAACTGAAACCTCGATAGCTGCTGAGGAATGGTAGATATAACAGGTCCATATCTCTGAGAGAGGAAATAAGTGTCATTGCCTAATATGAAACTAATGCAAATGTATAGGTGGAAGAAAAAAAGAAAGTCATAAAAACAAGTAAATAACTAACAAAAAGAACTCTTCCATGAAACAGTGGTAGAAAATATGGAATGCTAAGCTGAAATGTTGAATATTAAACTAATAAATGACACGGTCTATCTATTAGAATAAACAAAAAAGTTATTGTACCTGAACATTGTCATATAGTTCGAACAATGGCACAGCGAGGAGCTTCAAGTTCTTTGGGACAGCAAAATACTCGCGTTCGGACAGGTGAACAAGGAAGAGCTTCTTGCATTCCTGCAGAGCATAAAAAATAATACTGTAGAAGTTATCATTTGAATCCAAATAACAATGTACGGGTTTATGTATGGTGGTAAAAAAAACTACCTTAGGTTTTGTTATGTGCGGAGGGGAATAAGGATACAAGATGGTTTCAAAATTCGGTCTCCACCACATCGCCACACAATCGCCAATCTGCATCAAGTTTTCATAAAAAAAGGTCATTGACTTTGAGTTAACGGCCAATATCAAGAAACTAGTTAAAGATCATTTCAAGCGCAATTTGGCAAATCGGCTAAGTTTAAGTTTTAACATGGAACTCGAAGGAGGGTCGATGTAATTGAGCTCAAGCACTTTGCTTTAGGTCTCAACAACTCAAAACTTGTAACACATATTTAATCAAAAACTTAAACTTAGTTCCTTAATTAGTACCTGCCAGTCTGGCTGAAGAGATGGAGAATTAGCAGCAAGTTTGCTTGATAGTTTCCTTTTCAAACCCTCGACTTCTGTGAAGCAACGCATAGATATGAAAAAACTAAGAACCAAAACCATTCAAGCAAAACCCAGGCAAGTCAATCAGAAATTTGCCGTGGAAATTCAGAATCCCATCTTCTTTGCTTAATAAGATCAATACTGAATTTGAATTTAGTCAATGCACAAAGAAAATAAATTGATACCATTCTCGCCTGGCTTCAACCTGCCGCCTGGGAGTTTACAGAATGTATTTCCAATTTGCAAAAGAAGAATATGGGGGTGATTATGCTCTTGAACCTGTTTAAGTCCAAATACAAATTTCTTCTATTATTAGCCAATAGATGAACGACCAGATTATTTTACATCATGCACACAGTCCGAAAGTGAGAAATAACTATAGATAAGAATGGCATCACAGCCAGTTGAGGAATTCTAACATTGGACTTGGAATCAAAAAGATATTCAAATAAAAAGTTCGTCAAATCTTTTGATAACAAAATTGCAATGCTAGATGAGGATTTTGACACTATCGACTATAACATTTGAAGACTCCGCACAAACAATGGAAATACAGTACGGTTATGAGAAAATATGTAATCCCAGATAGAAAAACAGGAGTAACAGTATCCAGCTGCGACATTGAAGTGTGAAAAGCACCAATGTAAAATTTACTTTAGTTTGCTTGAGCATGAACAGAAGTTCCATACAAAAAGTTTTCAAAACATATTTGCATCATACATCATTTCATTTCCTCATTAATCAGTTTAATCTCAGGCCTGCGTAAAACTAGAAACTCTGATGGGCAGAAGAATTTGAGGCATCCAATTCTAACCAATCTTTCTTTTCCTCTCTCACTACTCCCCATTCAAAATTTCAAATCCAAATTGCAAAAACAAGTTTTTACTCAATTAAGTTCACACCAATCGGACAACAAAAAATAATAACATAGTTATAACACGCAACACTACGAGACAAACTGATAAATTACAGAACATCATACCAACAGAATCGCCTCGACACTGGTCCTCATACCTTCCTTCATGTAGCTGCAACTCGAAAACCCAATAAAATTCATACCCGAAACCAAAAACATATCTTTCAAAGGGTCGCACAGTAAACCCTAGATACATCAACTAGGTCCCGATCCAGGGCTTCCCAATTACAACTAACGAAAAAATCGAACAAAATCAAGAAAACAGACATGAAAAGGGAAAAAGAAAAAACACAGACTTGACTTTCATGCGGGCGAGGCGATCGGCCACGGAGGTGTCTTTCTCCATTTTCGGCTCTTTTGTGCCGAAAGTGTAGCTCGATAGAGGGTACGTGTTCACAACCTGCGATGCCACCATTTTCGCTACCTTCTCGACGATTCAAATGCCTTAGCTTCGCTTTAAGTTTTCGTTCTCCTCCTCAATTTTTTTGGAGGGGATTGATTTTTGAGCGAGGTGCAAGGTTCAGAGCTGCCCGCGGGAGGGAAATCGATTTTTGAGCGACTGTGAAGTACCTACAGTGACGATATATGAAAGTGTGATAGTGTTGATTCGAATTGTAAGAACTGGATGTATGATCACAGAAGAGGATCCGTGCCAGAATCGAGGTATGGTCCAAATAAAAACGTGGATTTAGATTGGGCCTAAACTCCGAAGGGAATTGCTTGGCCCAGTTAGTCAATCATTACCAAGAAAAACTTGTAAAATGCATGCTTAAAACCGCATCTATACTATTTGAAATAACTTTTCCAAAAAGGTATTAAATCTAAAATAATTCTAGTTATGTATTTTATAAATATAAACTCTTTTAGAGCAACTCCAAAAAGGTGTAATGTCAGTTCAAGGTCAGAATTATGCTTGGCTTATTGGTGGAGAAGGTGTAAAATTTTACCGTTTCTTCTGCCTTCAACGGTAAAAAATGGGACCTTTTGTCTAATTTGGCTGCAATTGTCAGTCATTTTCTTTTTTTTTTTTGTTTCCGCACTAAAAGTGGGATAGTGATGGTGGGGTAGTTGTGAGTCCAAGATTATTTAGGTAGTGAGTGTAAAGTTATTGAAGAAAAAAATATAAAAAAGAGGATTGATAGTAGAATGCTGACGTGACATTAAAAGGTGATATAATGTTGGTTGATTGGCGGAAATGTCCTTAGTCGTTTCAGTTTATCTTAAATTTATTACATTATCTGTATACTTATTAAAAAATATTTTGAACTTCTAGTTAATCTTAAGTTCATTATCTAATTTTTTACTAAGTCATAAACAACCACAATAGATAAAATAAATAAATAAATAAATAAAAAATCAAATCAAATGCAAAAAATAAGTTGGACATAAACAATAAATATGATAAATAAAATGCAATCAATACCTAAAATCAACTCATATATAAACATCAAATTAATTCTAGAAAAACTACTTTCAAAAAACTTTTTAAAAACTTATTCAAGCCCCTCAGCTCCCCTACCACAGCCTTCGTCCACAAGAGTATGAAACTAGTTTTCTCCATGAGCTAATTATTATAAATTCAAACCAGTCAAGTCTGAAATGCGAGTACAGGATCGGCAGGAAAGGGTGGTCCAACAAGAGTTTGTGATTTATCCAACAAGAGCTCTTGAACAATATACCATGTCGCCGAATTCAATTCTGCACAATTTGCGGCGATCGCATTTTTCACGCGCCTCCTTCATCGCCAGCGCACTCATCTGCCGTCGAAATGCGAACGTGCAGCTGTCGGAGGTGGACAAACTGGATTTTTTCGCTGGAGTAAGTTAAATATTAAATCTGAAAAAAATGAGATTTATTTTAATGCAATGACTATAAAATGAGATTTATTTTATAACGGAATAAATACACACATAAAAACGGGCTGATGTACATCCCAAACAAACTTTGCATTCTACATAAATTACATACAACTCTTTATTTACAAAGCATCTATCATTTTCTTCCCATGTACTAACTTGGGGTCGGAATGCTAACGCCGGGAGACTCTACTGACCCCCTTTTGCAGGTTATTTGTAGACTCTTAGGTAGATCAAACTCAGATCCAATCAGTTCAACTTTGACTCGAGTCACCAGCACAACAACTTCCTTTCAAAATGACAATATTTTAGCTACAAAATTATTGACTACACGAGATCCAAAATATAACAATTATTATTTTTAAATAGATATTATATTATATGTGATTATCTCTAAATGAGCCGAACGAGCTCATTTTTTATGCTCAAGCTTGAATTGGAGCTCGACTCGTTAACTAAACTAGCTTGAGCTCGACTCGTTGACGAACGATTTATTTTGTTCAACAACTCAAATAATTTGTAAATTTATATCATGATTCAAATATTTATCCAATATTTTGTAATTATACTAAATTTTAAGGTGTAAAATGTTTTCCATCTATATTTGGAGGAAGAAGCATGGAAATATGCAAATTTAGGGGCGACTTTGGTATTTTCGATGAATTTGTCATTTTTCATTCTTCAACTTCAAGTCGGTTCAAATACAGAGGGACCGAAAGGCGCGAAGCTCGAAGAGCCGTGAGCCGCCAAACAACCGCGAAAACCACCGCCACGAACCGGCGCCGCCGCCTGTTCCCGCCGTCGCCACATCTCCATGGGCAAGCAGAAGCAGCAAGTCATCTCCCGCTTCTTCGCGCCCAAACCCTCCGCCGACGCCACCCCCGGCCCGCCGCAACCGCAAAACCCGCCCTCCACCCCACCGCCCAAAATCGCCACCACCGTCTCCTTTTCCCCGGCCAAACGAATCCGTACCGGCCAGCTCAACGCCCTCCACAACAAGCCCCAAAAGCTCAGCCACCCGGCCTCACCCAGCAACACCCCCAATTTAATACCCCTACCCAACCCCACCCTCCATCGAAAATTCCTCGACAAGCTTCTGGAACCTCCCCAGGACCTCCTCGAACCTTCCAGAAACACCAATTGCTCGCAGATTCCAAACCCCAAGTACACGCCATTGGAGCAACAAGTGGTCGAGCTCAAGAATAGGTACCCGGACGTGCTCCTGATGATTGAGGTCGGGTATAAGTACAGATTTTTCGGGGAAGATGCTGAAAATGCAGCTAGAGTACTCGGTATATATGCCCACATGGACCGGAATTTCCTGACAGCTAGCGTGCCCACTTTCAGGTTGAATGTGCACTTGAGGAGGCTTGTTAGCGCAGGGTATAAAGTGGGAGTAGTGAAACAAACCGAGACAGCAGCCATTAAGGCCCACGGGTCGAATAAGATGGGCCCATTTTGCCGTGGGCTTTCAGCACTGTACACGAAGGCCACATTGGAGGCGGCCGAGGATTTGGGTGGTGGGGAGGAAGGGTGTGGGCCCTGTAATAATTATTTGTTCTGTGTTGTGGAGAAAATGGCGGGGAATGTGGAGAATAAGCTGGACATGAAGATTGGAGCTGTGGGGATTGAGGTATCGACTGGGGATGTGGTTTATGGGGAGTTTGATGATAATTTTATGAGGGCGCGTTTGGAGGCTATGATTTTGCAGTTGTCACCAGTTGAATTGCTTCTTGGAGCGAACTTGTCTAAGCAGACAGAGAAGGTGGTTTTTTCAGTGTTCATTTGTCGTTAATTTTAATTATGGTTGAAATATAGAAATTATGCTGATACATTTGGTTGCTTAAGAAGTTGTGCATTGTTGCACTGAGAGTTGTGCTTCTTGTTGTGGATGTGTTTGTAGGTCGTATTATTGGAAAGTCGCGCAAATCCATGACTTGTTGCGGTTTGACTCGTCTCAACTTAGAAATATTGAAGTGGTTGTATAATTGAAAAGTAAATTGAAGCACATCTTTTGAAACTAAAGTTGATTGAGACGGTATAGGTAGTAGTTAAAGAGATCAAAGTTGTAAAGAGAGTGAGAGATTAAATATGTGAAGCAACATTTCTGTGGCTTATGGATTTTTAAGAAGTTAGTTATAGATGTTTTTGTTCGATCTCATGGTACAAGTTTGAAATAATATGTCGAAAAGGGTGATATCAATTTTCTGACTTTGTTAGTATTGTATTGTTGCATAACAAAGTTGGCATTATGAGATGTGTGTCTTTATCAAAGGGGTATCTATTACCAATTTAGTAGAACAATTTTGGAATGTGCATAAACCTAGCTGCTAAATACCTTTTTATTTGTTTTCTTTATAATCTTTTTTATTTTTAAACGGCAAGAATAGGGAGAGAAGGAAATTGAATTTGATCCTTTGTATTTTATATATGCATGTTGTCTTGATGGTTATAATTGGTGGGGTTGTTATGCATTTGTCTTATGGAGTTATTGTGTGTTTCACTTGTAAATTGTCTTGATTCCCCCCTTCCCCTTCCCATCATCCACTTTAGTTATTATTGGATTATGCTGGGCCTTCCTCAAATGTTCGAGTCGAGTATGCTTCACAAGATTTCTTACATGACCATGACGCTCGAGCTGAAGTGATATTACAATATGATAGCTTAAACCAGAGTGATATAACCAATAGTTATCAACAGAAGGTCACAACAGCAGATATCCAAACCAATCAGACCTTTTCGGTCGAGGTGTGATTTAATTATGTATTTTTCCTTATAACAATTTTTATGCAAGTAATTAGTTTTTGGGCATGTGGAGGGGAGATTGCTGATATATATTTATTTATTTTAATCTAAAGGGGATTATGGCTATGCCCGATTTGGCTATTCAAGCATTAGCCTTAACAATTCATCATCTGAAACAATTTGGATTTGAGCGAATTCTGTGTTTGGGGGCTTCATTTCGGCCCTACTCTGGCATCAATGAGATGACCCTTTCAGCTAATGCACTACAACAACTTGAGGTGAGTGGCTTAATGACTGTTTAGCACATTTTGTAACTTTTAAGTGCTTTATTGTCATCTGAGATTTCCAGCCGTGTAGATTCTGAAGAATAATTCTGATGGCTCTGAGCGTGGCTCTCTTTTCCAATGCATGAATCATACGTTGACTGTATTTGGGTCGAGGCTTCTCAGACACTGGGTACAAAGTTACAAATCAAATTTTGGTCCCTTTTGTTTTAGTAAATTCTTATCATGAGACGTGTATTATTTCACAGGTGACTCATCCTTTATGCGACAGGAGCATGATAAATGCACGTCTCGATGCCATTTCTGAAATTCTAGAGTCGATGGGTTCTGCTAAATCTTCTGAGATTGATTTGGAAGATGAGAATTCTGATGTGACTATCGTGCACCCTGATCTTCATCATTTACTATCATCTGTTTTGACTACATTGGGAAGAGGACCTGATGTTCAACGTGGAATTACAAGGATTTTTCATCGAACTTCCACGGCATCCGAGGTATCCCAGTGTCTTTTGGCTTTTCACCCTATCTCGAATCTTGAACTTATTTTAAGTCATCACAGTTCTTATTTGTTTACTGTTCTATTGCTTGTCATTTTCAACCCGCTTCACCTGCATATGCTCATATTTGAACTGCAAAGCTATCATGGATAAGCAATCATTTTGTGCTTGAGGATATAGCTTTTTCCCTTTTTCCCTTAAAGTATTGTTCTTTGGTTGTTTAGTTCTGATTCCCGGTTGATATTGATGAAATACTGTATTTATTCCATGTTATGCATTTATATATTTGGGAATGTTTAAATTATTTTTCCCCGATTGTGATAATTACTACTTCTGAATATTACTGAATAATATTCAATATTTGAGATTACGATTGCCAAAGGAAAATCCCCCAGAAAACTCTATATTACACACCTCGGAATTGCGATTTATTTTTATCTATAATAAACTAGTATTGTTAAAAAGTATATTCTAGCACCAGCAATTTCTGCTCAGAGTAATTAAGACTGCTTTCCTGTGTGCAATATGATCAGTTCATTGCAGTTATTCAAGCTATTGTATTTGCTGGAAGAAAGCTGCAGCAACTCCATGTTGAAACAGCTGACAGAAGCAAGAATCTACAAAAGGGAGCCTCTGTGCACTCTGTTCTGTTGAGAAAGTTGATCATGACAGCATCATCTCCTAGTCTTACTGGTACTGCAACAAAACTCTTGTCGAAACTTAACAGAGAAGCTGCCGCTCAAAATGATCTTCACAATCTATTTGTCCTCTCTGATGGGAGTTTCCCAGAGGTGAAATTGGCGAGTTTATCTTTACCTGTCGTAACTATTTGGATTATTTTGTAATTTCCTTCAAGAATTTTGACATTTGGTGCATTCTGATTCTGTAGGTTGCTGTTGCAAGGACTAAGGTTCAGTTTGCAAATGAAATGTTGGATAAATTACTACCTCTATATCGAAAACAACTGCGCATGAGCAATCTAGAATTTATAACTGTATCTGGAGTCACACATTTGATAGAGGTACTAAGATGTGTCAAAAATTATATTTTTTTGTGTTTGGTGTGTTTTTCACTACCCTACAGTCATATAAGCATTTGTGTGCAGCTAGCCCTTGATGTGAAGGTACCTTCAGACTGGGTTAAAGTAAACAGTACCAAGAAAACGATTCGGTATCATCCACCTGAAGTATTGAAGGCCCTGGACCAGTTAACTCTGGCAAACGAGGAGCTCTCTATTGCGTGTCGAGCCACATGGGATGAATTTTTAAGGACATTTGCTGGATACTATTCTGAGTTTCAGAGTGCTGTTCAAGCATTTGCCACGTTGGATTGTCTTTATTCGCTTGCGATGCTTTCTAGGACGAAGGTTTCCATGTTATTCGTTATCTCATTGTGGTTACTGCAGAATAATTACTGCAGTATAACTAATTTTACTGTCGGAATATGCAGAATTATGTTCGCCCAGATTTTACAAGTGATGATGAGCCCGTTCAGATTGAGATCAAATCCGGTCGACATCCTGTACGCAATCTACATCTTAGATTTTACCTTTGTGTGTACCAGTGCTTGATTAAGTTTTTACTTATAGATACTAATTCGTAATTATAGGTATTAATTAACTTACTTGGTTATATTTGTACCGAAGCAGTGAATGTATGCAAATTGTATTTGTTACGTGTTTATTGATTCTCCTGTTGATCGTTTTCAGGTTATGGAGAACATTTTGCAGGATAATTTTGTTCCAAATGATACGAATTTACATGCCGAGGGGCAGTACTGCCAGATTGTCACTGGGCCGAATATGGGTGGAAAGAGTTGCTATATTCGTCAAGTTGCTCTTATAGCTCTCATGGCTCAGGTATATGTAAAAACCTCGTCGGCAAAATTTGTGAAATTATAATTATACCCTTAAGTCATCCTTCTATTTCCTTTTCAATTTCTGTTTTCTCTTGCTGGATTGAGTGAAAATAATTGTTACTGATCTAGACGAAGGATGAAAAATCACTTAAAACTATTCTAAAGCCTGATTTCAAGAGAGAGAAACAGAGGAAAAAAAAGTTAAAGAACCACAAAGCCCTTCCATAAAGTCTTTTTGAATATGCAAAAGATTTATGTGATTAGATACTAAAAATTTTAATTTTTCACTTACATTTGTTTGCTTCTCTGAAATCCTGAGAGGACACAAAATTTTCTGAAAATGCACTGCGCATTTTCTCTCATCCCTATCAACACGTTTTTTAAACTAAACTTTAACTCGATCATTTTTAACTCAATCAATTTTTTTAACCTCAACTTTAACTCAACCCCACCATCCTCAATATTATCAATATAATTTAATAATACCACTCAATCATTCTTACACATTATATCAACTTTAATTTGCTATTCATCCACTCACATAATTTTAACCAACCATCACTTCACATCATCTCTCTCCTACTTTTACATCAAAAAATCAACTTTAATTATTTTATTTTAAAAAATAATTTTAATATAAACTCAAAATCTCACTAACAACTAATCATACCACATTTTTCAAAATTTACCATGGCTAA